ATTTTTAGTGTCTATTCACAGAGCAGTGCACCCGTCACCACAGTCAATTTTAGAATGTTTTAATCAACTCCAAAAGGAGGATACCTTCTGTCTATCAGCATTAACTTCTCTTTATTTTCTACCTCTGTCCCTCATCCCCCACCCCAGACAATCATGAATCTACTTTCTATCTCTGTAGAGTTGCCTATTACAGATATTTTACATAAATAGAATCATACAATTTGTAGTCTTTTATGATTGGCTTCTTTTACTTAGTATGTTTTCAAGGCTCATCCACGTTGCAGCATATATCAGTACTTCATTCTTTTTTTAAAAACAGTTTTATTGCAGTGTAGTTCATTCACAGTTCATCTGTTTAAAGCATACAGCTCAGTGGCTTTTATTTATTTATTTATTTATTTATTTAGACAGAGCCTTAAGCTGTCCTCCTAGGTAGAGTGCCGTGGCATCACAGCTTACAGCAACCTCCAACTCCTGGGCTCAAGCGAGTCTCCTGCCTCAGCCTTCCAAGTGGGACCACAGGCGCCCGCCACAACGCCTGGCTTTTTTTTTTTTTTTTTTTTTGTTTCAGCCATTGTTTGGCGGGCCTGGGCTGGATTCAAACCCGCCACCTTAGGTGTATGTGGCTGGCGCCTTAAGCCACTTGAGCCACAGGCACCGAGCCAGCTCAGTGGCTTTTAGTTTATTCAGAGTTTGCATCCATCACCACAGTTAGTTTTAGAACATTTTCATTATTCCATGAAGAAATCCTACACCTCTTACCCATCACCTTCCAATTTTCAATCCCTTATATAAAATAGAATCATACAATATATGGTCCTTTGTACCAGCTTCTTTAAGTTAGCCTATTGTTTTCAGAGTTCATATGTGATACAGTATAAATCAACATTTAGTTCCTTTTTGTTTACCTACTCATCAATTGATGGCCATTTGGGTTGTTCTATTTGGGGGCTATAACGGATAATGCTGCTGTCAACATTCATGTGCAGGTTTTTGTGTGGACATATGTTTTTATTTCTATTGGTATAGACCAGCAGTTCTCAACCTGTGGGTTGTGACCCTTTTGGGGGTCGAATGACCCATTCACAAGGGTCCTCTAACACCATCCTGCATATCAGATAGTTACATTATGATTTATAACAGTAGCAAAATTATAGTCAAGAAGTAGCAGCAAAAATAATTTTATGGTTGGGGGTCACCACAACATGAGGAACTGTATTAAAGAGTTGCGGCATTAGGAAGGTTGAGAACCACTGGTATAGACGAAGAGTGGGTTTCCTGGATTGTGTGCCAACTGTGTTTAGCCCTTACCAGACTGTTAATCACCACAGCTGTACCATTTTTCATTCCTGCCAACAGTATGTAATGGTTCTAATATCTCTGTATTCTTATCAACACTTGTTATTATTTGTCTTTTTTGATTATAGTGGTGGTCTGAGGTAGTATCCCATTGTGGTTTTGACATTTCCCTGTGGCCATTGATGTTAAACATTTTCATATATTTATTGGCAATTTTTATATCTTTGGGTTTTTAATATATTCTTTGGAGAATTGTCTGTGCCACATCTTTTTCTAGTTTTTTTGGCGGGGAGGGGAGACAGTCTTGCTTTGTTGCCCTCAGTAGAGTAACCTCAAACTCTTGGGCTTAAGTGATTCTTTTGCTTCAGCCTTCAAGTAGCTGGGACTACAGGCACCTGCCACAACACCCAGCTATTTTTAGAGACAAGGTCTTGCTCTGGCTCAGGATGATCTTGAACCTGTGAAATCAGGCAGTCCACCTGCCTTGGCCTCCCTTAGTGCTAGGATTACAGGTGTGAGCCACCACGCCTGACCCCTTTTCTCCAGTTTTTTAATGGGTTATTTATATTTTTATATTGAATCTTTATATGTTCTGGATACTATACCTTTACCAGAGATCTTATTTGCAAATATTTTTTCTCGTTCTATAGGTTATTTTTTCACTTTATTGATGGTATCCTTTGAAACACAAAAGTTTTTAATTTTGCAGAAGTCCAGTTTATTTATTTAGTATTTTTTTTTTT